TTTGTTGACATTGTCCCTAACTTGGTTTTCCTCTACTTCCTTTCACCAGGACTGTGCCACTAGTGTTGAGAATGTGTAGTTGTGAAAGTGTGCTGTGGTGGGAAAACCAATGCCAAGAAGGCACTGAGAACCTGAACCTCTTGTGTTCTTTGCCCCTTGGTTCTCCAGCATGCTGGGATGGTAGTTAATAGGTACAAAATGCAAAACAATTAGAACTACTAGTATAAATAACTTATTCTGGCAAGATTATTTAGTGCACGAATGTGGTGTTGATAATATCTGTGGGAAATAGATAAATCTATTTTTGCAAGTCATCATTTGATTGGGTACCAAGTCTGTGCTCATCTTGCTGTGCTTTCTAGAAAATTATGTCTTCTTATGGTTTGTGTTTAAATGTTTGCTGTGGTTGTATTGTGGGCATTTAGTATAAAAGAATTAAATCTTTCAAAAACTGCATTTGTGCATTTATGCACTTCCCAGGAACTGAATTACTGCTTCCTGTAGACTTCATTGAATCTCTTGTATGACTAGGGTGATTCTAATTTATTTAAAAATAAAACCAAAAATTTTCACTGGTGTGACCTGGGAGAAGAGACAGTGAATGATGCCACAAAATGAAAATGCCAAGTCTCCTAAAAGTTGTACTTTGCTGTTGTGTTTGATTTTCATAATTTAACATGTAGAAGTTAAAAAAAAACACCTACACATGTTTTATTAGTAGGCTTATCTTTCCTTATCAGGTTTTTTTTTTTTATTTTTAGGGAATAAGAGGCATAAACAGTTAATTTTCTGTAGAAGAGATACTGCATTTATAGTTCCCTTTGGTAGTTGAAAACTTAAGCGTCTGTTTCCTTCACATGTTTAACTGCAGTCAGATTTCACATCTCCTTCTTTATAGACACAACTAATCCTACATTGTGACCAGTTAATTTTGAATTTGAGATTTTTAACTGTAACATGAATTTACCATGATCATCCCTGATTTAAAGACTTTGGTACTTTATTCTGCTATATTTATTACTAAGATGAATTTTGAACTGCTCTGATGATCTGAGTAAAGGGTATATTGTAGTGTTATGTCAATACATTTCTACAACATTTTTGGTATGTGAGATGAAATAACAATTCATTTTTTTAGAATCTGCCTTTTATGTAATAGGCGTCCTTTCTTATGTACAGATTTTTTTTAGGTGCAACATATTTTAGACTTTTAAATGGTACTTTAGTAGTTTTTTTTTTTTTTTTGCTATTGTCATTAGAATCTGTTGTACGTGGTGTTGAGGGTAACCTTTTTTTCAAGTTTACACCTCTGATGTTAGTGCTGTCCCTCAGAGGATTTTCCACAAGGCTATGTAGTTTGCTCATTCCTACAATAAGTACTGCTGTTGTCAGCAGCAGTGTGCAAAGTGAGTTTTCTTATTCTTGCTGCTCTCATGCTGCATGTTACTGATGGGGAGCACCACTATTTAAGTGCAGGAAAGTAAGAATAAATTGGTAGGAAAATAAGTTTGCAGATTGACCAGCTTCTCTAAGCCTACTGATAGGTGGAGGAGCTTCTGAGGTTACTTAATGTTTAAATTCTAGGCAACAGGGAAAGAAAGCAGATTTTTCCCAACATGAGCTCTCTGTTAGAAGGAAGAAATTCAGTTGAATTGAGTCTTACTGTGCCCTTAAAATACAGCCTGCTAAGGGGCCCATTTTGTTACTCACAGTTGGCTGTGGAAGATGTTTATAAACAGGACTTCTTTAAATTTTTTTTTTCTTTTTACTTCTTTTTATTTTCTGTTTTGTCTTTGAATGTCTCTTTATCTTCAAACATCTCTTTATTTTCAGAGAAGGAAATTGCCCATGTCCAAAATCATGGAGAAGCCTTGGGCTGCATTATGATTCTAAACAGATTATTGGCAAAATATTTTTTTAAGTTTTGTAAAATAAGGTTGGTCATGGTGTTTGGCACTCCTGCAGATGCTTACCACTCCCTTTAAAAAGTATTCCCCTAATTTCCTTGGCTCTGAAAGAATTACATTAGGTTTTTCAATGAAAATACCACTTGGCTTCAAGGTAAAAATAGGATGTTCCTACTCCTATAAATAGAAAAGCTGACATTGAGTTTAGTTGGGTAATCATGGTATTTTAGCAGCCTCAGAGTAGAACATGTTAGGAGTGGGTTAGGAATTGGTTTATTGCTTTGTATCTCAACTCTACTAGCACAATTCAGAGAATTTAAGTCTTAGAAGTCTTTGGTTATTTTATTTCCTCATTCTGGAGTGGAGTGTCGCATGGTGCTAAAAAATGTGCTTTATCCCTAAACTTAATTTATTTTCCTTCTTTTTGCCATGCCTGTATTTCTTCTAGACTGCATGGGTAGGCTGAGGACCCAGCAGAGGCCAGTTTGTCTCAGTTCCCACCTGCAGCAGCTGGGCAGAGCAAAGCAAGGGAACAGTTCATTCCCCACAGCCCTGGGTCACTGTAAGGGCAAAGCAAGATTGGGCTTTGAAGCTCCTGATTTCAGCTCTTAAAATGGCCTTTAATGTGAGAAGATTAATTTTTTCAAGGACTTCATTCATTGCTTAGAGGAGACCAAATGGTGTGTTCTTCGAGCCATCCTCTTGAATTTCAGCATTAAAGCCCTGATTGTGAAAGAGTTAACATACTCAGCTGAAAGAATGTTCTTCCAATTTTGTTCTAGGAAACAGCTGAGGGGTTTTTCCCCTAAAAATTTCCGAAGAAGGTCTGCCATCTGGTATGGAGAATTTTAGTCCAGATTGAATTTGGCAGAAATTTGACCAATTAAAAGCAGTTGTACCATCTTAAGTATATGGCAGGCTTCATTGTTGTAATGTGGCTAGATTTATGGTAGTACCTCATGTTAACACTGACTTGTCCTTCAAAGACCTTGAAATCTAAGCAGATGAGCAGCAGGGCAATGAGAAGAACCTTTAGTCTGGCTCACTATGCTCCCTGTCCTGACAGTGGTGGTAATGCATGTAACAGCAGCTGCGTGGAAGTGCTTCTCTTGAAATAGAGATCTCTCCAAACACCTCAAAATGAAGAAGATAAATGTGTAGGGCAGTGAGAATAACCTATAGTCCAATTCATTCTGCTTCATATTTCTATTGAGTGACAGCTGGATAGCCATTGCTTTCTAAGGCAGGTAGAGGATAAAACAATTTTTTGCTGTGAAAATTTCCCCCTCTTTCTATCAGCAACATTCAAAATCTCTGTGCTGTAAAGCAGCTTGGGGTTATGTTCAGAAGCTGCTCGTGGAGTGGTCCATAACGTCCTCATCCACCATGAGTTTGTGTTAATTTAATCTTAAAATCAAATTACCAAACATCATCAAAAGATGAAATTATGTAATTTGATTTTAAATCTGTTTGTGCTTCTGATCCCTGTAATAATCTTACATCATGAATTGCACAGTTCAGTTTTGTGCTTAGTATCATAATAGCTTCATGCAACTTATTTTCATCTAACTTGTACAGAGGTATATACTCTGGGGGATTGTGTAACACCTTGTTTTGGCCACAAGACTTTGTGCTCAGCATTGTCTCTTTCTTTTCCAGGCAGAAAATTTTAGGGGTTTATTACATGGTAGCTTCTTAATGCCTTCTATCGTTGCCTTCCCTATTCTTTTTCTCTTTTTTTTTTGTGTCAAATGCTGTGTATTTTCTTGTCTTTTATCTCACTGCATCCATGTAATTGGCCCCTTACTGAAATCTTCTCTTGTCTGCTTGCTGTTAGTTCGTTCTCCTCATTATCTGTGTTCAGATTTTGCCCATTAATTTCACACTTTTTTCTCCATTCCCTAGGTGGTGATGAATAGGGAGAAGTGTGTGGTTTAGGTAGAAATAAAGCAATTCAAAGTTCTACAAATTGTGAGAACTGGAAGGAACAAGTAGATTGGTTCCCAGTCCTTAACTACAGCTTAGTTTTATGTGCCTTAAAGATGGTTGAATTTCATTTTTTTAGGATGGCTCTTCATGGCTGTGAAAGCTGGAGTCATTAAAAATGAATAAGACTTCTTATGTAACTTAGAGGTTTGAGGCTATAAAAGTGCTCCAAATATTGAAGCAATGCTGTTAAGTGTCATGCCCCCCAGGAGCACTGTGGATGCCTGCCCAGAAGTGGGAATGACAAGCACTCCATCTCTTAAAAGTTTTGAGTCTTTGAGGCTGAGAATGAGCAAGAATTCAGGGTCTTCTTTTGCTGCAGTTCATCTCTTCCTGATTTTGCTTTTGGTAGTTGGAGTTACTGATAAGCTTGCATTTTTAGTAAGTGACTCTAAGGTATATACTGGTTGAAGTACAGAAAGGTCACATTATTGCTTTTAGGAGTGTTATATACATTTGAACCTAAGCAAACTTTCACAGACTCATAAAATGGTTTGGATTGGCAGGGGCCTTCAGGATCATCCAGTTCTAGCTCACATGTCAGGGACAGGGACACCTTCCACTGGAATCGACTTCTGGATTCTTCACATTGCTCTAACATCTGGTGGAGTTTTTTAATTATTCTTGGCAGTTTCAATTGCAGTTTGGTACCTAGGAGAAAGAAAAGGTGTTTTAATGTGACATTAGTTCTGGGCTGGTCAAGAATTCATTAAAATATGGGCGAGACTTACTGTGTCCTAGAGTAATACATTTATGTGAGATAAAGCTCTAGCTAGGCTTATTTCTAGTGCTAATTGTTTGCTGTGTTTTCTTTTTGATAATAGAAGGAAGAAATGGAAGAAGTGTTAATCATTGCATTTAGTAAAGCAAGTTTTTAAGTGATGTCAGTGTAATGAGAGCAAACTGATTTTTTAACTTTATAGAGTGTTGTGGTTTGGTTACAGTTCAGCTGAATATCCAGGCATTTAACTAATAAAGAATGAAAAGAAAATAACATGCATAATTTGCATTAATTAGAAACTGATCTCTGAATGGTACTGAACAGCTCACTTTGAATTTACGGTGCAATTAAAAAAAAACAAACCAAATTTCTTTTTCTCTTCACAGGAAAGATGATAAAGATTACGCTTTAAAACAGATAGAAGGTACTGGAATTTCCATGTCTGCATGCAGAGAAATAGCAGTAAGTAACAGTTGTTTTTACTTGCAAACTTAGTAAAATTATTAATTTGCATGCATACTGGATTTTTTCTGCTCAGTCATGTTATTTTACTGTGGATGCTGTATTTTTATCATAGAGATATAAAGTAAGTACAAATGTCATGGGAGATTTTATGTACCTGTTATGTATGCTGTCTGAAACTGACTGTTTTTAAGTTGCAACTGCCTGCCTCAGGGCAGATCATATTTAAATGCAGCAGTTTAAAAACACAATTGGCGTTAGTGACTTAAATGTCACATTTGGTCTGACTTGTAGTATTCAGTTCTTTTTCTAAGGAAATTAGTTCTTGTTGGTTTACAGAGATTAAAACATTTTAACTTCTGTTTAGGTGAATAAACTGAGGCTGTTGTTGCCTTGGAGGCTGTAATGCAGCCATAAAGGCTGTTCAAACACGTTCTTTAGTTTTTCAGACTTAGATTTGTATATTTCATGCCTTTAGAAACTGGTGAATAATGTCTGGTTATAATTCATGAGACGCTTGGGAAGAAGTAGTGGAAAACCCGGTGTTATGAAACTTACCTGTTGTATATTCTTATGTTTTATAGCTGCTTGGGTTTGTTCTTTAAATGTTTCAAATGAAGTTGCTTTCTAAAAGGAAATGTGCCTAACTTATTTAGGGTGTGTGTGGGAAGGGAATAGTTTCTTTTCAGTCCATATTCCTCAAGAGTGTAAAACTTCACCCTAAATTTCATTTTCTATGACTGAAGTGAGTACTAGGCTTTCCCACTTAGTCAAATTCCAGTTGGCTTAGTGATGTCAAAAACATTAGTCCTTGCACAGAGGTGAAAAAGAAGCACAAAGAGTATTCTTTACGAGATGCTCTTTTTGTCCAATGAAAGCTGAGCCCTCCGCTATTGTAGGCATCCACTTTGAATTAAAGGAGCAGGAAGCAGGGTCTTAAATTTTGTTACTTTCAGCCACTCGGGCACAAGTTTTCCAAATACTGTGACTCAGGCTGAATGCTTTTAGGAAATGTCAGGTACCATTTCAGAGAGATTTGGGATAAGTTGTTGTCTTTCTGCAGTGATTTACGTAAAAAGATTTGAAGAGTTTGTGCTGCTTGAACTTGGCAGGAGAAGCCTGGCTGGTGTTAGGGAGGTGTCTCTGCTCTGTCTATGACTGTAATTCAGTTTCTGTGCATTATGAGAATCATTAACTTGGCTGACAGGCAGCAAGGATTTGGCCTCGTTCCTCTTGTGCAGCAAGGTCCCCCAGTATTGATGGAAAAGGAACAAGCAGCAGGAGTGCTTTCTCCGTGCTCTGAGCTGCTGCAGCATGTGCCTTTGGAAGAGAACAGCAGTACAGCTCAGGGCCATGTGTGACAGGATTGGTGAAGGAAGGAGGGAACACAGTGCAAATACCAAAGATGCCAAGAAAGCAGGTATTGAGCCAAGAGAGGCATGGAGCCAAAAGCAGGTGTAGGGATAGGAGAAACCTGAAGCAGTATGTCTTGAGCTTCTTTGCTTCTGGTTATGCTTCCAGGCTTCTGACTTCTAATAATGTGGTTGAATTTTCCTGCAGTTGAATTAATAATTCACTATGGACTTCTGGGTTTGAATTGGTTTCTTGCCATTCTTTTGATGTTGCTGTTTGAAGCGAACAGGAGAATTTTTTTCCCCCTAGAATGGTGTTATTTTAATTCTGTTAAATAGGTTTTTTCCACCCTTCTATCAGTTAATGTTATAAAGGGAGAAAAATGAACCTCCTATGGAAATGAATCAAATTGATGATGATAATAATCATACTGTTTATATTGATAATGTGAATATATGTAACATATGTGAAAATGCTACTGAGTTAACCAGCAGTATTATACCCTGTCATCTGTACATATAAATAATAAAATTATTTGTTGTTGTACTTAAAAAGTCAAGGCTGCATGCCAGACTTTGTTACAGTGTGTTCTGGACTATCCAAATTAACATCAATGTGTTAAGAGCGTGGTGGTGTTAGGAGGAACTAGGATGATTTGGTTTACATATGATCCATATCCATTTCAGTTTCTCTGGAGAGCTGAGGCTTGTATCTTCTACTCGGTGATAGTCTAGGAAGAATATAGTTTGATATAAATCCCAGAGAAGCTCTTCTTTCTACAACTCTGCCATGGCTTTGTGTCTTATGGATGTCTAACTCCAGGTTTGGAGTATTGAGCAACTTTTATGTTTAAAAATGCCCATAACTTACTCTTTTAAGACATCTGTTTGATGCAGACATCTGAGTCGGAGAACAGTGTAAGAAAAATAAAGTAACTACTGAAATTCATCAGTTACAGGGAAAGGTTTCAACTGGGTTAGAGACCTGATTTCAGATGTCTGAATCAGTTATGGGCTGAGCTAAATCTATAACTCAGTTTAAAGAAGTGATTTGTTTGGGTTTTTTTCCTTCAATCATTTGAACTTTGATTTTCTTCAACCATCTGTTTACTTGGTGGAGCTAACCGTTACTGTGCTAATTGAATCAATATGTTTCACATCAAGCTAGTTGAAGAGCTGTATTTTTCCTTATCTTTGCCCTATTCATCCACCATGGTAAACATTTGTGAATCCTGCCTCTTTCAGAACCTTAACTGAATGTTTGGCTGCTCATATCTTGTTCTCTGCAGATCTGTGCACTGCCTGCTATACTGGGTATCTGTTTTGTGATCTGCAATTTCACTTCTGAGGATTTAGGCAGGCACTGAAAACTGCAGGTTCAGCATGCCACAAATGTAATTTGTGGTAGATGGGAGAGCAGAGAGATCGAATGGTGAGAAGATTTGTACAAAAATATGCAGAATGTACAAGCCCAAATGATTGATTCCTCGTCTTCAGATTTAATCACGTGGAAGAAAGTCATTACAGTCTATCCACCTGGAATAGTGCAGCAAATGCTATTTCACAGTTCGCAAAGCAGGAGAATTCTTCAAGGCTGTAGAAAGCTGAAGTAGTTAACCAGGCTTTAAATAGAGCTTCAGGATTTTGGCTTGGACAGTTTCCTATGTAGAAGTCGTAGCTTTTGAAGCAACCAAGTCACTTGCTGTAATGTGTTATGTTGGTTAGCTTTTTCCATTCAGTTTTAGCAGGTTTGCAAGTACTTTGCTTGCATATGCTTCCTTTGGCTAGCGAGGACTTGGCTTAGGCTGAGGTTTTGTTTGGGATTTTTGTTTTGTTTAGTTGAGGGAGCTATGAGCGTTTTGGGATATTTTTTTTTTGTTTTTTTCTTTTTACCAGTTTTCCATGTAATTTGTTTATTGGTGCCTGGTTAGGTCAACACAAATACCTGATAGCATTAATTTTTGTCTTGGCTCTGAAGAGGAAGTCATTGGGTGTCATAGGAGATGCTTTCAGTGATGGAAATGGCGAAAGTGACAGTGCAGATCTGAGGTGGACAGTGCTGTGCTCTGGCCGTCTCCTGTCTGAGTTGTGTCCTTTAAACACCATATCCAGTTTGTGTGAGTTAAAACAGCCTTGAGGCTGCCAGGCATGGAACAGAAAACTACAGAACAATAAGCAGCTGGCTTCTCTGGTTGTTTTTGCTCTTTAGGTCTGCCTTGGAGGCATTCCTAGGACTTTATGTTTCCTGTTGTAACAAGTGCAGGCTGTTATCACAAAAGATGATGTCCTCTGTGTTGGATCTAGTGATAGTGTGACTGTAGGATGTTCACCTTTACCAAAGGGCAAAAGAGCAGTTTTGTGGAGTGAGCAAGCAGAGCTGAAGCGTCCTTTGGATGTGCTGTTACTTAACAGAACTCCTGTGAAAGGGAGAGCCTCTGCAGCAGGCCTGCTCATCTCTGCATCTGCACTGTCCCTGTGGCTTTCACCGGGACTGGAGGGTGGCAGAGGCAGACACAGAGGCACAGCAGCAGGCTCAGCCCCCATGGCAAGGGAGAAGGGAGCTGCTCTTGGTGAGTGGTCTTACCTGAGTTGACCTTGGTGGAGGAGACTCCTCTAGGGAGTAACTGGTCCTTCTCACACACTGGGTCTTCTGTGCCCTGAGTGATGATAGTATCTCACCATTGATTATCAGGTCTCTCTTCCCTCTGCCAGTGAAAGGGATGGAAGAAGGCTGTAAAGGCTCTTTCATAGCCAGTCTGAGGATGACTGTGATCTCTGCAGCCTGCAGCAGCCAGAGAGACTCAATGAGGCAGAAGCCTAAACTGGGTGACACCAGGATTTACCCTCTTCAGCACCTTCCCCTGTTAAGGAACAAATAATGAGCTTGCCTGAAGAGATCCTGAACCAGCTGTGTGGCAATGAACAATAGTTGGGTGTAGGTTCCTCAGGTTATGGGGGTTGTCGTGTCCCTTCCACGCTAACAGTGAAAGCAGTTTCCATGAGAAAGACCAAGCCCTCTTCATGGCCGAGGGCATGTTATGGTTTCCTGGCAATCTTTCCGTGTAGTGAAAGGTGACAAAGTACTGAGGAAGACAGATGTTTAATTTGAATCTTTTTGGCATGTTTAATGATTCTCAGATGCTTTTGTTTAGTACTAACATGGTGTGTAAAATATCAGTTTTGACTGAGTACTTCCCCAGCTACATTACTGATCTGAGGACAGAATTCTTGAGAGATTTTGTGTGAAGGGAGTGTAGCACTGTTTTTAGTTCTGTGACAGTGGGACAAAGATGCTGACTAAATGTTGTAATTAGAATCCTTAGGAATCATGTTTTCTGTGGACAGCAGAATTTGCTGAAGCTTGACATCCAATGTCTGTCTCCTCTGGGTTCTTCACCCACCTCCTTATTTTGAGACAACATTTAGTAACACTTCTTTTAATACTTCAGATGTGTTTGGAATTAGAAGGTGCTAATAAATATTGATTTGCATGTGACATCACATAAGACTCGCTTATTTTAGAAACTGTGAAAGATAAAAAGAAATATGGGGGTTTTTTTCACTTGACATTTTGTGTTGTCAGGCTTCCTTTTTGCACATTTAGGAGTTTAAAAAAATCAAAAGAATAAAATATACATCTTTTTTTGA